AAAGAAATTTTTCAGCATTTTTCATTTACCATTTTTGAGGGGAAAAAAATCCTGGCAGCTGTTAAATAAAAATTTCTCATCTATGCCCACACTCACATAAAATGTAAATAATATTGCCTTTTAGGAAATGAACTATTTCATCTTGATAAACAGCCTTGTCTGAAACTTGTAATGCATTGATTTTAATCTTGAAATATTTATTACAAGGGAGGATTTATGAGCCATTCTTAAAGGAACAGAAGTTCTCCTTGCCAGCAAATATTCCCCTCTTTTAGCACTCAGAAGTAAGTCGGTAACAGCACATGAACAACTCTGATTATTTTTGAAGTTACTTATGAAGTATGTTGCATACAGAATATTTAAAACATAGGCCGTACACAACTGCGGCATGTGCTACCAACAGAAATGTTAAGCTGTCAACAAGTGTTACTTATCAAAGAGAACTTGCTGCTCTGGGTTCTGTGGCTGGCTATACACTTTAGTTGCTGCCTTACCACAAACCATGCTGTACTACTTAATTTTTGTATACCGTGTTTTGGAGCCCAAAGAATCTTTAATCCTTTCCCACACAGTAGAGCAAATTTAATGGGAGGCTCAGAGGGATTACAAAAATGCTGAAACCTGAATTGCGTTTTTTTTTTTCTCCACCAACTGGGGAGATAGATGAGGCTGAGTACGTGACTTCTCAGTCAATCATATTCAGCTGGGGCAGATGGCTTTGTAGGAGAAAGGTATGAGCTGCTGTTTGCTGTTTCTGTGCCAAAGGGTGATATTATCTACTGCTGTACCTCTTGACTCGAACGCAATAAAATCAAAGATGTGTGTGTTGAGCTGCTTCCTTAGAAAACCACAGGCGTGCACGCATTTCAGCGAGCGCAGTCACCCGTGCCGTGCTGTCTGCCTTTGCTGGGCTGCTCCGGCTTGCCTGCTCTGGTGCTTCCCTTCCAGAAACTATGCCATGACATTTTGAGCTGAACTTTGAAACATAAGGATTTTTTTAAACTCTTAGCCTTGAATTTCTCACATTATGATCAAGCCTTTCCCATGCACTTCAGACAAAACAAATAGACCTTCCCTTTATAGCTGCTGAAAAATTCACATCTATAAACATCCACTGCCTCAGCAGAAAGACTGCACCAGTATTTACACGCTGACACTCATTAACCCTCTGAATCCAAACAGCATTCTTACAGTGTCCTCGCCTATGCTAAGACTAAAGAAAGCACTTAAGCAGCAAGCATCGCTGTGGATCATTCTCCCAAATTAAAGACTTCAGTGGCTATCTGCTGTGTTCTTTTTTCATCATGTGTGTTTGTAGCTTGTACACCGCATACCATTTACTCTTCTGGTGGGTGGCTGGAAGCCAGTGCAGAGGTCAGTGTCAGGGTATTTTCATTAATCACAGGAAGCTTTTGTGGAAAAAGGCTCTACCATTTGCTCAGCAGCTTTGTTACCCAGAATTTTACTTACCTCTGTAAGGTAACACATTGCAATTAAATTCTGCAGGAAAGAATGCACAATAAACAACCACTTTGTCATCAGGAGGAGACAATAAATAGAAATATAAAGGCTGGTTTTCAGATCTTACTGAATTATTTGATGTTTAAATTCTGCCTGCAAAATTATGTACTTTAAACATAAGTCTGACGAGTCCAACCCTCAAAACCTGACAATTTGTCCTTGTTCAAAGATCTAGTACAAGTCTATACAGTCAGCTTTGTCTTATGAACTTGAAAAACTTAACCTTGCCTTCCATCTGAGTCCAGGATGAGACTCAGGGTTTCAGAATGGGACTTATCAGCAGATGTAAGTGAGACAAAAAATGGGGTGTGGTGGGTTGACCTGGGCTGGATGCCAGGTGCCACCAAAGTATTCTATCGCTCCCCTCCTCAGCAGAACGAGGCAGGGGGAGAAAACGAGATGGGGAAAAAAACCCCAAACTTGTGGATCAAGATAAAGGCAGCTTAATAAAAGCAAAAGCAAAGGCTGTGCATGGAAGCAAAAGGAAAACGAAGGTTTTATTCTCTACTTCCCATCAGCAGGCAATGTCCAGCCACTTCCCAGGAAG